GGTAGGCAGGGCATGACCTGCCAGAATTAACTGCATGAGTTTGACTTAATCCCCTTCGTTACTGTATCCACTGCAAAGGCACATATCAAAGGGTTTTGATTACAGTACTCCTGCCTACAACACCAAGACGGGCGACAAGCACACTGCAGGTTTCATGAAGATTCTGCACCCAGTAAACACATCCAGAAGACAGTTAAAAAGGAACAGGTAAGTCAAACCCCCAGATTTCTAATTTGCCCGCAGACATTGAGCTCTTAAGAGATTTACTGAAAGCTTATTTATAGTAACATTCACCACAGTTACAGCCATTTTCAAGATTTCAGTCTGTGGGGTGAAGTGTGCTTTGCCAGTCTTTCTGCTTTACAGGAGCAGTATGTTTCTAGGACCCTAGACACAGTATTTAAATAAGAATTGTCCACAGAATCTCAGAATGACCTACTGCAAAAGGAAAACTAAAAACTGTATCAGCGTGTAGTTACAACTTCTGTATTCTGGAAACAGCTAAACAAAATTAAAATATATTAATAAAAGAAAAAAAAATTAGGAAGGCATTTCATTTGGTGCTGTTTTTAATCAAAAAAATAGCTGTGGGTTTTGGGTGGTTCTGCATCATCTAGGCATGTCTACAACACTGCAATCCTCACAACCGCCCTATGGCACCAGAGCGAGAAAATGGAAGTAACCAAACAGATCAAACTAGTTTCTCTACCTTTTTTGCAGAACCCTACTATCACGTACAAATCAAACAGCTAATCTCATACCAAAAAGCTCAGGTTTATGAAAGAGATGTTTCATGCCATACACCTCAAAGCAGCTTGAATTCCTTTCTTTCGACACCCCTTGACACTACGGGCTGCTGCATGGAAACCTGTTTGTTATGAACATTTTTAAAGACTTCCTTCCCCCCCAGTTACGGCTGTCTCATACTGCAGAAGGCTGGAGATACAGTACAGCTCACTGCGCTGATAAGAATGCCAAGTTGTTAGTCACAGTAGTAGCAGGACTAAGTTGCTAATCTTTTTACCTCTGATGGACGATAGGTTCTCTAAATGATTAAAGCACATCAAAGGCAGAATTGCCTCCATCTGCTCTTTCACAGAGTCTTTTAGTATCCAGAGGCCACCAAGTCTACTAAGTGATACATCCCCTAAGTTAGCACTCTGTTCTATTTCAACAATCTACACCAAAGAGAGAGAGAGGTGTATAAGAAAAAAACCCCAAACTGCCTGCACTCACTTTTTATATAAACAAAACATTTAAAAAAGGGTGAAGTGTCATGACAAAACTCAAGTTAATGGTTAAAGTCAATTATTACCTGAAGACTCTTCAGACACCCTCTCTCCCATTGTCTGCATCACAAGGTGACTGCCAGAACAACATAGTCCCATTTTGAGAACTAATCTCACAGTCCCTTATAAAGATTTCCCCTCCAATAACCTCCCCCAGCCCCTCTCCTCCTCCTCTCTTCCTCTTAGGCTTGAAGGATGGATGTAGTTCACCGCAGCTGCAGTGGGAACCGTGCCCATCAAAAGATCAATCACTTGAATCTTTCCAAGGCTCACAGCAGCCACACGGGGACCAAGCAGAGACCACCGGGTCGGGAAATGGCAGGCGCGGTGGTTAGGCCACTTGAGCCTGTGCCCAGAGCTGTGCAGATACAAAATGCCCACTTGCGCTTTAGGACACTTTTGTTTGCAACCATCTGAATTTACATGTATCAGAGACTATTTGGAAATACTTCCCTCTCAATTCATGCACGTTTTTCCCCCCTTCTCTGTTCATAAAGTTTGTTGGTACAAAGATTTGCTATTTATTTATTTTTTGAGTACGCAGTACTGTTGGCATAGAGTATGAAAGATCAACTAACAGTGAATAGCTGCCATAGGTGGTTTGCTATCCTGATGGTAGATATAGTAAAATTGCTTGTTATTTATATATTTTCAACAGATTCAGGTGTCCTACACTTCTGATCAATTAAAAAAAAAAAAAAGCACAGGAAGGCACTTTACAACACAGCTCAAGAGTTCCCACTCTTAATCTGGAAGCTAAAATAAGTCGTCTTTGCAGTCTGGGTCAGTAAGAACACATGCAACGGGCAAGCGTAACTGTAGTCCAAAGGAAACTGAAGGACAAAGATGGCAGTTGTCATTCAAGCTAAGGCCACTACAGTCAACAGAAATTTCACTCAAGAGAAGGCTGAATGCTTTAAAGAGTATTTAAATCCATGCAAATAAGAAAGAATTAAAATGTAAATAAGTATTAATATTGGGAGAAAAAGCATGCATTCTCTTGGGCTAATCAATCCTTTCTCCTGGAGGGCAGCCTTACTCGGTAGTCATTGTCTTTTCTGTGTCAGTGGTTTGGTAATTCTGACTTTCCTCTGGCTGAAGTCCACCAAAGGCATTCAGGCATGTAGGAAGGTAAACGATGACAAGCTAGCAGGAGGCAATCGGTTCCAGAGCAGCACAGCAGAGCAGCTGACCTCCAGCTTCCTGCACTCTAGGAACACGTTGTCCTTTCCTCTGTAACCTGAACTGGGGCCA